GAGAGGGGAAGGAGCAATCACCCCACCCTAGTTCCTACCCCAGAGACAACTTTTTGCTTGAACAAGGAGAGGAACTGAACTTAGGAGTCCAGTCAATGCTTAGTGACTGGGAGGCTGGATGCCCAGTTCGTGATGTTTGCCCTCTGCTGCTGCAGTTTCTTCTGGCCACTTTGCTGCCCAATTAACTTCTTCACCAGGGGGTGAAGAGAAGGGAGATGAAGGGTTTCCAGCGGCTATGAACACTCTGCTGTCAACAGATAACAAGGCAGAGTTCTAATGGGAACAGAGTAGCCTGGTATCACACAGCCTGGTCCTGAATACAGAGTGACCTGGCTCACTTAGTAGCTGAATGCTGCTTAACCTTCTTGTATCCTGACTTCTCTATCTTTAAGGCACAAATATTAACTTCCTGGGGTGCACTTGTGTGTAGTGCAGTGCCTGGTGAGTAAGAGCCACCCAGCAACCAAGCAACTGTAGCTACGGAGCCTTAGTACAGTGGGTCTGGGTCTCATCAGTTATGGCACAAGAAACCAAGATCTTCTGCCAGCGTGTGTTAGAACTGCAACAAAATTTAACATCCACGTGAGGCTTTCCTTTCAAGGGCATCAAGTCAAAGAACTCAACAAGACAAGAGGTTGTCTACATTCACAGGTTTAAGGCAAGAGCATTAAATGAGTTGCCATAGGGACACAGCTAGAGCTGGACCTGCACACAAAGCAGAGGTCTCATTTGTGATCCCACATATCAAATTACTGAAGAAGGGAGGCCGCAATGCAGAGCATCCTGACTACAGATTAGTCTTGTCTGATCAGGGTGGAGTGGGGCACCCCTACTGCCATACTCATCTTCAAGATGTCACCCCTATGGGAGAGGCCACTTAAGCGCAAATTACACAAAGAACCTGGGACAATCCAGACGAAGCCTCATTTCCTTCTATTTTCTTGCCCTACCTCCAAGCCCTCCCAATTTGTTCTCCTGATTTCTTCTCTTCATTTCTTCCTGGTGCTATGTGGTTGGCAAATGTACTCAAGGAAAGAACTAGGAAATTCCGACGGGTTGAAATTCTTTTTTTCTTTCTTAGGTTTTTCTCAAGACAGCGCTTCTCTGTGTAACAGCTCTGGTTGTCCCAGAACTCAGAGATCTGCCTGCCTGTCTTCCAAGTCTTGGGATTAAAGGCTGTGCCACCACTACCTGGCATGAGAAGCTAAAGTTCTTAAAAGCCAGTATGGGCACAGGCCCTGGCTAAACTGCCTGGAGTCTGGGGGTAAAGAAGGGTGGAAACAACAGCTAAGACTGTGGTCCTAGGGGCACAGGTACAGCACCTACAGCCCGAAGAAACAGGGTCTGCAGAGAAACCCACTTCAGTGGTTCACTGGTTCTTGATAGCATATCAGTGCAATGCACTGAACAAAAGCCCATTTTGACAATGCTTTTCAGCATTCAAAATATTTACCTAAAATTCTCTTTGTACAATACCTAACCATATATGTGACAGAGTCAAGAGCAGCTCTTGTGGACTGAGGGTCAAGAGATGGGAAGTTGGGGGAGGACAAGGTGATTTCTGGGGAAATGGTTTAAAAATCTTTTAAGCTTCTTTAAAAAAATCTTTATTGTTGCGTGTGAGAGAATAATATTTACATGGGAATGCATGGCACTATGCGTTTGGAGGTCAGAGGTCAACCTCGTGTAGTTGTTTATCTTCCAGATTTACGTGGGTTCCGGGAGGGATCTTAAGTTGACAGGCTTGTGTAGCAAGAGCCCTTACCCACTGAGCCATCTTGCTGTCCCTCTTAAAAGCTCCTTTAAGTCCCAAGTTCAAATTCTAAGCATTATGAAATTGTTATCATTAAAAGAACCCTCCTCCCTTTGTGGTTGTTACTGTTTTTGGTTTTTCAAGACAGGGTTTATCTATGTAGCACTGGATGTTTTGGAACCAGGCAGGCCTTAAACTCACAGAGATCCACCTGCTTCTGCCTCTCAAGTGCTAGGATTAAAGGCATGCACTACTACTGCTCAGCTAAAGGTAAATGGTTTTTTAACAGGGCTTCAGTTGATGCTAACATATACTGTAGCAGAAGAACCTCCTCTACTGCTAGATGGATGCAGCAGAGCTGAACAGGGTAGGGGAGAAAAGCAAGTATTTAAAAGTGGGGAATGGGGCTGTAAAGATGGGCAAAGCATTGATATGCAAGCAAGAAAACTGGAAGTGAGATCCCCGGAACCCACATAAGAGCCAGATGGGCATGATGATCCACCTTTAACCCTAACAGGAAATCCCTAGAATGAGCCAGCTGGCAGAGCAGCTCAAACAGCAAGCTCCAGGCTTGCAAGAGACCCTGCCTCAGAGGACAGACATTAATAGAGGACCAATCTTGAACCCCCACATGTACTCATACACATGTGAACATACATACAAACACCTACACATAGACATGTACAAAAGGGGAGGAAGGGCTACGTTCTGGGATTACAAGTAAAATTATATGAACCTAAACAATATGAAGAGATGGCTCAATGGTTAAACCACACAGGGGCTTACATTTGTCTGCGATCACTGTTTTAGGGACTCTGATGATCTCGCCTGGCCTCTACTGGCACCAGTTACATGTGATGTACATACACACCTGAAGGCAAAATACTCTTTCATATAAAATTTTAAAAAAATTTAAATTAAAATATATAATGCCTTCTGTTTTCATAATATAAAATAGATACAAACTTGAAAGGCTATTTTTTAGAGTTCCAAAATAGAAAATCTAACTTTGGTAAGAACAAAAAACATTTTAGTTTTTTTTGACTAGGTTTTCCATTTCTTTCAAAGTTGTTTCAAGCCAGACAGTGGTGTATGCCATTGTTTGATCCTACCACATTCGGGAAGCAAAGGTAGGCATATCTCTGAGTTCCAGGACAGTCAGGGCTATACAGAGAAATCCTGTCTTGGAAACAAACAAAACAACCCTGCCACCTCCCCAAATTGTTTCAAAAAGAATTTAAAAAAAAAAACAGTCCTCTCAGGGCTGGAGAGATGGCTCAGTGGTTAAGAGCACTAACTGCTCTTCCAGAGGACATGGGTTCAATTCCCAGCACCCACATGACAGCTCACAACTGTCTAAAGATCCAGTTCCAGGGGATCTGACACCTTCATACTAATGCACATAAAATAAAAGTTAAATAAACTATAAGAAATGTTTTTTTTTAAAAGTCCTCTCAAGTGTTAATCTGCCTTGAATACATCTTCTAAATGTATTTACTTCATTTTATATATTTAAGTGTTTTGTCCGTGAGTATGACAGTCAACTGCCTGTGTGCCTGTGGCGACCTGAAGGGGGTGCTAGAGCTTCTGGAACTGGAGTTGCAGATAACTGTAAGCAGTCATGTGTATAAGTGCAGGGAGCCAAATCCTGGTTCTCCACAGGAGCAAAAGTACTCTCCAGCTCCCCTCCCCCCCTCTTTCGGGAAGTGCTCTGCCACTAAGCTCAACCCCAGCCCTCCTCTGCCTTGTATTTTAAAATGGTCTCACGAATCTGCCAGGCTTGTCTTGAATCACCTGATAGCCTAGGAAAGCCTTGAACTTATTTATCTTCCTGCCTCAGCTATCCCAAGAGCTAGCTATGATTACAGGTCTAAGCTATTGAGCTCAGCTAATGGGTCACAATCACTACAAAGGGAGTAGTGTGTCACACAAGACAAGTCAGGCTCTGAAAGCAGGAATCTGATGTTTGCTTGCATCTGTGTCAGAGTCTCACTGCTCTGGTGTACATTAGATTTCTGGACAGAAGAACAGGGCTCTTCCTGACCTGGTGAGGGGTGAGCTCTGCACCAGTGTTCACATCTACCAACTGGAAGAACAGGGCGAAGTTCTGATGGCTGTCCGCGATGAATGGACCCTTGGCTTTGGCTGGGTACATCACCCTGAAAGAGATATCATATAGTTAGACTTCTGATAGGATTTCCCTGTCTAAGAACAGGTATTAGTGCCCAACTGTCCCTGTCCTATTTTACCACTTCCATGGAATGTACAGAAATATCTGTGCCCTAGAGGCAAAGTGGAGCAATAAAGTCAGACTGAAGAGGCATTTCTGTCTCTCTGTCTCTCTCTTTCTCTCTCTGGTGGGAGATAGAACTCACAAGGTAGACCAGAAAGCTTGACCAGACCACTAAGCTACAATCTCAGGCACAGGCCAGGACTGAGAACAGCAGAGAAAACTTTAATCAGGGTCTAGGAACAATGCCCTGTGAGAATGTCTACCTCCAGGCCTTTACTTCAATAACCCATGCTCTTAACTGGCCCAGCTCAGGTGCAGGGAGCCTGTGTGCACCGCTGCAGGACTAGCAGGATGCAGAGGGACAGTCATAGATTGATGCCAGCAACAGCGAGGTTGATGAGCAGGGAGTGTGGGAGCAAAGGAAAGAAGGGAATGTTGGGCTTTCTCTATTTTATGCTTTGTTTCCTGGACTGTTTCAATTTATTTTTCTGCTACGAAATTGGGTTTTAAAAAGACATTTTCTCAAAAGGCAGACTTGATGAGAAAAGCTGTTTTTTCCATGGCTATCTCCTGGGACTGAAGAGAAAGACCGCCAAGGGACCAACAAGCCAAATGGTTTACAAAGCTCACACCTGGCTTTGTTTTATACTTTTGGTTTATATTTACTCATCAAAACCAACTCTACGAGAAATAACTTTGCAACTACTCTTACAGACATCTTATTTTAGTGCATTCTCAAATAGTGTTCATATCTCCACTGTCACTACAGCAACAACCATGTCAGGGACAGGAAGTCCAGATCTACATGACTTACAAGGAGTGAGTCTGGCTTAAAGCATTCACTGCCTTCAAAACAGCTCCAGGGTTCAGCTATCTGCTTCTAGAGCCACTCCATCCGAGTAAAGCTGGGATCTGAACTACACCCGAGATAGTGACAGAAGAGGGACATATCTGATGCTGACAAATGGCCTTCACCAGGCATCCTGGCTATCTCTAATCAAATGGCAATGGCTGATGCTCACTTGAGCACATGTACTAAACACTGGTCACTATACAGAGATAAGATTAGCACGACCCTTGTGCAAAGATGACACAGAAATTTATGAAATGTTCAATATTAAAAAATATTAATGGTTACCTAGGAGGTTACATTTAATAATAATAAAAAAATAAGGACACCAAGCTGTGCTTTGGTTCAACAGGAGCAAGTGCTGTGGTCATTAGTGGTGCTTTTTGTGGGTACGGAAGGGAAGCAGGAGAGAGGTTGAAGGCTTTCCAAGGTCTAGACTTTTAATTTTTCCCACAGCCCACAATTTCCATGAGGCCATACCAAAAGCTAATTCAGGACTCTGAATTAGACGGCAGTAAAATACAAATTAATCTACTGTTTCCTTTTTTAAGTATGTCTCCTTACTAGAAAGAAAGGTTATCTGAACTAAATAACGTGAATGACAGAGTGGACTCAAGGGTTAGAGGAGTGGCGGGGCTGCATCCCTAGCACCCCGGCAGCCTGGCTAGCTTATGCCCCGAAATAACAACACACAAATTGTATTCATTTAAACACTGCTTGGCCCTTTAGCTCTAGCCCTTACAGGCTAATTCTCACATCCCGATCAACCCATCTCTAATAATCTGTGAGCACCGGTATTACCGGGAAAGGTTCAGCATGTCTAACCTGGCGGCTTGCTTCATCGCGTGCGTCTGCCCGGGAGAGCGGAGCATGGCATCTCTCTGAGGCGTCTGCTCCCAAGAGGAGAGCTGTGGAGTCTGAGCTCACTTCCTCTTCCTCCCAGCATTCTGTTCTGTTTACTCCTCCCACCTATGTTCTAACCAATAAAATGGGCCAAGGCAGTTCCTTTATTAGCCAATGACCTTCCTCCATCAAGAGCCTGAGGTAACAAGTGTAGTTGGCTCACGGACTAAACGTAGTACAAACAATCCCCACGTCTGCTTACACACCCACCAGAATCCCTAGAGTACACCACACTACTGCAACTGCATTCTCTTGGGATAGGATAGGGTCACTGCCACCTAGGAAATACCACCTGGAGGGGCACAGTGCCTAGTTTGTTCTTTCCAGCTCTGAAGCCTAGGGGTCCCCAGTATGTAGGTGGCACCCCACTTACCGGGTAGTTTTGGGGGCAATGCTCTGATCTTTATCCACAGTGGAAAGATCGACATTTGTGATGCCAACTTCAGTGGAGATCTTGACTCTAAGCTGCAGCAAAACAGAAGACATTCATCAAGTCAGCGGGTGGACACGAGAGAGCTACTGTATACCAAAAGTCTATGCGTGCGCATGTGTGCCTGTATGTATCTGCATTGGTAGGTAAGGACCACCACTGAAACACACCCACAAACCAACACTCTCTTCTTCCTTCCTTTCTTTCTGACATGACCTCAGGTGGCCTGGGCTGGCCTTGAACTGTGTGACCAAAGAAAACCTTGCACTTGTGAACCTTTTGCTTCCACCTCCTGAATGTCTGACGTAGAAGGGTGTGCCACCACATCTGATTTCATGTGGATTGAAGCTAGGGTTTTGTGTAAAAATGGCAAGTGCTCCACCAACTGAGTTATACCACTGCTTTAAAACAGTCTTTTCTTAAAAGTGAATAAAAGCAGGAAAAGAATTCTAGGACAGGAGTCTTTAAGAACATAGTAAAAGCGACCTGCCAGGTCAAAAGGCATTTCACACCACTCCCGTCCTGAGCCCTAACAGGTAAGGTCTTGGCTATTGTTCCTTTCTCACTTCTCTGGCTTTGGTATGTATTTAAAAAGGAGTAAGAAGTACTTGGGAGGTAGAGGCAGGCGGATCTCTGTGAGTTCGAGGCCAGCCTGGTCTATAAGAGCTAGTTCCAGGACATGCTCCAAAGCCGCAGAGAAACCCTGTCTCGAAAAAAAAAAAAAAAAAACAAAAAAACAAAAAAACAAAACAACAACAACAACAAAAAAAAGGAAGTAAAAAGTCCTTTGAAATAAATATGGGGCTGAGTGGTAGTGAACACCTTTAATTCCAGTACTCAGGAGGCAAAGGCAGGTGGATCTCTGTGAGTTCGAGGCCAGCCTGGTCTATTGAGCGAGTTCCAGTATAGCCAGGGTTACACAGAGAAACCCTGTCTTGGAAAAATCAACCAACCAACCAAACAAACAAATAAATGAGGGAGAATTTCTTACATAGTAATGTTTAAATAATTCATGCCACTAAGTACTAACAACAGAAGAGATTTACTTAGTATTTACTCAACGAAAGGCACTGGCTTTGTACAGCCATGTCAATCTGCACAACAGGAAGGCAGTGCTGTCAGACGAGGAAGTAGACTGAAGAGGTCATGCACTCCTGCTCAGGCACTCACAATCCACATGCCAAGGTTCCTTACTATCATCCCTTTCTATGAAGATATAAGATGCCATGGTGGCTCTCTATGCTGTTCATCAAGTACTTCCACTCTCTGCTGTACACGTGTCAGTGCGCTATGGCCTTTGTCACCTTTGGAGTCTCAGAAGGGCACATGATTTGCTTTGATCAATGAAACGTGAGCAGAAGTGAAATTAGAATCACGAATACAATGTCCAGACACAGGCTTGCTCCTTTAGGCAGGCTTCCTGAGTAAGGATGAAATGAAACAGGGCATCCAACTAACTCACTAAAGACACCTACAAAAAAGAACCCTTGGTTGCATGAAGTCAGAGAGATCTGGAGTCTGTTCTAAGTACAAGTCAGACCATCCTGGCTCTTCCTTTATAAAAATTTCCAAAAAGAGGAGCTAGTTAATGCCAGAAAATAGTCTATTCATTGGGGATTTTCCAGTTAAAAATCTAAATCTGAGGGACTGGAGAGATGGCTCAGAGGTTAAGAACACTGCCTGTTCTTCCAGAGGTCCTGAGTTCAATTCCCAGCAACCACATGGTGGCTCACAACCATCTGTAATGAGATCTGGTGCCCTCTTCTGGCCTGTAGGCATACATGCAGGCAGAACACTGTATACATAATAAAGAAACCTTTAAGAATAAAAAATCTAAATTTGAATGTGTAAATTATGCAAACCCAAGGCACATTTATGTGCAAACGGATCCGTGAGCCTTCCAAACATGATAGGCTTTGAGTGTAACTCAGAAATTCTAGGCAAATTCAACGGTTTCATCTAAGTGTCAAGATCAAGCAATAGAGAGCGGCCTGTGCAAATAATGAAAGGAGAGCCTTGACATTTTTCAAAATGCTACATCAAGGCTTGACAGCCGCAAATCAAGGGTAAAAAAGGAAAAATTAAAGTAATCATTTTCAGCAGTCTTCTTTCCTGCTTCAATAAAAACTGTTTTGTGACAGCAGCCTCAATTATCTGGCTAAATAAGTTTTCTATTTTGCCTAAGAAAACTTTTGAATGTGAAAGATTTATCAGAAGCCGTGGGACATCACCTCTACTCGTGGATATGCAACTGGCAGACTTATACTTGGCATCACTCCCTGGCAATGAGCTAGGCTTGGTGGTTATGGCAGCAGAGGAAAGAGATGCAGGCCATCCAATGGAATAAGGCAAGCCATGGGAAGAACTAAAGGCCTCACAGACCTCACCACTCACAGGTTCAGAATCAGAGCCAGCTTTCCTATACAAAGTCAGGTCCAGAGAGGTTCTGGGCAATTTCTCCAAGATAGGGTTTCTCTGTGTAGCCTTGGCTGTTTCAGAACTCCGTAGACTAGGTTGGCTTCGAACTCAGAGATCCGCCTGTTTCTGCCTCTGGAGTGCTAGGACTGATTATAGGCATGTGTCACCATCTCCCAGCAAATAATATACCTGTTTATCAAATGATCCCTCTACTACCCATAAGAAAGAACACGGTTAGCTGTTTTTTTTTTCACCCCCTATTACTTTTTAAAAGAAGAGCTATTTTGCTGGGTGGTGGTACACACCTTTAATCCCAGCACTCAGGAGGCAGAGGCAGGCGAATCTATGAGTTCAAGGCCAGCCTGGTCTACAGAGTGAGTTCCAGGATAGCCAGGGCTACACAGAGAAACCCTGTCTTGAAAAAACAAAAAATAAAAATAAAAACAAAAACAAAACCCAACCAACCAAATGAAAAGATTTGTTTTTATTATTTTAAATGATGTGTATGAGTCTGAGAGTGGGTATGCACACATGAGTACAGGTGTATGCCGAGGACAGACACAAGCAGCTGCGGACTGATGTGGGTGCTGGGACCTGAACTCAGGTCCTTTGGAAGAGAAGCAGGTACTCTAACCCCTGAGACATCTCTCCAGCCTCATCTTTTACTTTTTCTTAGCACCCAAGAAACTACGGATGACAGTCTTCTCTAAGAACTGAATTGAGAGGATGGGGGAAGACACATATTCATTATAATTTTTCTGTACTTTGAAAAAAACACATACTCACATGTATATATTCCTGTTTTTAAAATACTAGGATAATCTGGACAACATGCGACATATATAGTCTTTTGTTTGTGGTTTTGTTTTCCAACACAGGTTTCTCTGTCTAGCCCTGGCTGTCCTGAACTTGCTTGTAGACCAGGCTGACCTTGAACTGAAGAGTTCCACCTGCCTCTACTTCCAGAGTGCTGGAATTAAAGACTATATGTCTCACTACAAATGGAACTCTGGAAATAGTCAAAGAAAAGCATTTCATGTCACTCCTACTCAGGGTCTCTGTTGGTCAGCCTCAAATGGGAAAGGGGCTCTGTGCCACTTAAATGCAGCGGGGCCCGCTTCACACAAGAGCAAACCACTTTTGTTGTTGTTGTTTGCATTGTATACCACATATATCCTCCAAAATGTTTCAACACCAGGAAATGTGGTCTTCCTGCTGAGAGTAGCAACTCCCCGTTTGGCTTATTACTGTCAAAAATGATGGTGCATTAGAGGCAATTAATGCTAATGAAAGCTTCCAAAACCCATGCTTTGCCTGACAGCCAGTCTAATTTCAATGAGTACTATTGCAAGCTTCTACACAAAACCACCACTAATGTACTTTGACCAATACTGGCATCTCTAAGGAGGAACAAACAGGACTTGCTGACCTGCTCTAAGGTTCTAAATGTGACTATTACTGCAATTACACAGTAAAGCTGCACATATAGCAAAAGAGGCACATGTACACACATACCAATGG